AAACTTTTTTAATTAATTAAAAATTCTAAACCGTAACTTTTATTCTACTTCGTCTGCTCTATCATTCTTACGGATTAAAAGCCTTAGGGTTTTGAAAGTTGGGTATTTTATTTCGGGCTTTAGGTGTCCCACACCATAATAAAGTATGATGAGAGTTGCGGGTTGTCTCTGCTAGACCTTGAGAATACAAACAATTGCATGGTTAGCGTGTGGTATTGTTATTTCAATGGTGTGGGTATTGGGTTGGGCATAAGCACAAAAGCCAAAAAGCAATATACTATGTTCAGTTTAAATTTCATTGCACTAGTTGAATATTTGCAGAGTTATGAGTAAATGAATCCAATAATTACAAACATTGAGCCGGTTGTGTGAGTCACTGTATATTATGGATGATAATAATAAGACTCTTCTAAGCCATTATCATTGTGAATTGGCGTTAGTATTAGCATTAGTGAGATATATAATATAGTGGTAGTGGTCTTATTTATATTAATATGGCTCCAAAACAATAAGTGTAGCTGGTTTTCCAGATTAAGATCATGTCTGTATGGATTAACATTTGTCTAGCCTGTCTCTGTTGGTGCTGATAATATCTTCATCTTTGAAATAAATAACACCAATTTTAAGGTATTAGGACCATCTAGTAGTTTATAATCAGAATGGATAACCAAGGGCCAATTGATTTGATTACATTGTCTTAGAATGCATTTAGCTCTTTGAATATTAAAATTCTAGTTAAGTTGACACAAACCTGCAACTGATTATCAAACTATTAACAAATACAGCCCAGCCAGGAATAATAATAATAGTAGATGTTTCTACAAGTGTTTCTCCCTGAGGTGCAGTTATTATTACAGTTTGACATCCACTTAATGGAAGCATTGATTTGAAATATATAAATCATCCCGAGATAATATAATGCTCCTTAGCAGAACAAGTTACAGTAAATACTGAACAAATTAATTACTCTTATTTGAGTGGTCTCTCAAAGGCCTGACATTAGTCCAACAGTAATAACCTTGTTTGCTGCATTGGCGATCAATGCGTGAAACGCTTAAAGGTAAACCAATCATATGCATTCTTTGAGAAAGAGAAACGTGTATATTATAAATAATAGAGGTGAATGAGATGAGAGAGCGGGCGTTTGCTTGCCTCAGATAATGCGGATGTCTATTATACATTGAAGGACTTTTTGTTCTAGAGATCGATCCCCATATATGCTGTATACAATCGTTGAGAGCATAGCCTTTGTCAATATGAAACGTTGAACAGATACTATTTTAAGCTCCATCGGAATGAAACGCATGGAGATCGCATTAATAAGGTGAGTGAATGACTTTTAACAATGTATTAAAATATCCTGTTGCTGTTTTCTCTGGTTGTTCTCTTTTACTGGCCACTATGCACGTGTATAAATTTTGACAATAATTTGTTGATCTGTATGTACACTCTGAATTCTTTAATGTTCAGAACTCGACTATACAGAGAGATAAACGACAAATTACAGCCAAGAACGATTTCACATTTTACTAAAAGACATGTCCGTTGGACAATGTCTCGGCAACAACAACAAAGTAATGTCATGAACCTGTCCACAACCCATCTTGAAAGAACAAGTCACATCCAAAGACAGAAGGTAACCTATAACGCATTTCAGATGATGTTTACTTGTTTCATGCTTCTATTGCGTTTCATTGCAACTTTAAAACCTGTTACAATAATCTCACTTCCATTTCTTCACATTCTGCATGTTGCATGCTTAGTCTAAGATACCCGCAACGATAATCTCTATAACTCAGGAAAATCCGACAATAAAGTCCTTTCTCTTTTCATGTCTTTCTCCCAACAAATTCACATTTCTCCCTGGCCAATGGCTAGACGTGTTTATACCAAACATCCCAACCGTCGGTGGTTTTTCTCTCACGTCTCATCCGTTATCACCACATTTCCAGCTAGCAGTGAAACACTCGACGCATCCCCCTGCCAAGTGGTTCCACGAGGAGGCAAAAGTTGGAGATGTGGTCGAGGTAAGAGTTGGTGGCGATTTCGTATGGAATGACGAAGAAGAAAAGAATGACGAAACTAGAAGCGTCGTCATGATTGCTGGCGGTGTCGGAATTAATCCTTTAATGAGTATGTTGGACTATATGTGTGAGTGTAGAGATCGAGAGGCGGAGGAAGGAATTCTGCGAGATATTAGATTGTTATATAGTGCCAAGACATATAGCGAACTACTGTTTTTAGAGAGGATTGAGAGTTTAAAGAGGAATTGGAGTGGTAATATGGTCTGTACTTACTATATTACAAAGGAAGAGGGTATGGATTCGTCAAATGGTAGTGAGTTTGCGTATGGGAGGAGGATAAGTAAAGACGTCATAGATACCATCGTCGATGCTGAGAGAGATCATTCGATGAAATCGAAATGGTTTATCTGTGGTCCTCCTTCTATGGAGGACGATGTTATTGGATGGCTAAGAGCACGAGGCATTGAAGAAGAGAGAATTAAGTTTGAAAAGTGGTGGTGAGCATTACTAAGCAAGCAGAAATGGACGTGAATCTACCAAAATACCCCATGTGTTAAACATAAATGTATCAGCTGTCATAAACGGCCCCTAAAATATGCCGAGATTCATTTAAGGGTGTTTGTATCATCCCACAACATTAACGTTAATCGTGTTCATATAATAATAATTAATAAAAATAACGATGACATCATACCATTAACAAATAAGGAAAGCCATATTCAACGTTCGACCAATACGGACATCTGGAACATCCTTTATCTGAAACACACGGATGATCCTCAAAATTCTAATCTGGTAACTACTATTATTATCATTTGGTATCATCCTTCAACTAAAGACAACTGCAGGCAAATAGTATTTTTGTTCATTACTTCGGTAACAAGAATATTTATTTACTTTTTATTTACAAAAAATAGTTAATGAATTCAGAGACCCTCCACATAACGAAAAATTTGAAAAATTATGAATTAGCCGGCTCAGAACTCTAAATTCCTTCCTACATATAGTACAAATAGTAATTGATAATAAAAATGTCCATTATTTTGCATTAAAGATTATCAGCTTTTTGTTTAGAATGTAAACCGATGTATAAATCCATTGAATGAGTTCTTGCCAGTAGAAGGCCGCCTATTTCGAATAAAAATATCCTTCAATCGAAGTCTGCAAACATGACCAAACAAGACCTGATGAATATTTGTTACAAGACAAAACTTGAAAAATATGTTCTTTGGAATACTCACAATGAAGTTCTTTTTTCGTCTCCGCAATCCGATTTGCTTTTAACTTTTGAAGTTTTCTTCAAGAATCCCCATCTCCTTTTTGTTGTTTCCTCTGCAGTAACCTTTGTTGGCGTGTGACCCTCAATGTGTCCTTGCTCCATCTCTTTCACATATTTGTCTTTCAATTCGATAACCCTAATCTTCAAATCAACCAATTCGACCCAGAACTTATATTCTGGTGAGTCAGGGGACCGATACCGCCATATCTCTGGCTCGATTTTGGAGAGGACTCTGTTGAATTCGGGGAGTATAACAGAAGTCGGTTCTTTAAGAGACTTCATCCGTCGCATCAGACTGATGGCCGATGCAACCAAGTCGCCGTGAGGATGGTTGGAATAAAACGTTGCTATTTCTTCTGCGGCCAGCGCTGAATGTCGAATTTCTACCTTGCGTTGTTTTACTGCTGCTGGTATTGACATTTTTGATCATATAACGGCTTTAACGTTCGTAATAATATTTTTTTTTGGTTATTTTTTTTAAATTATTATTCCAACTGACGGTCGACTGGTAGCGACGGTTTATTTTATACCCCGAATGTTAGTCGGTAGTCCTTCCAAGAGGTATCCAACGACAATTGATTTCTTTTTGTGAAGAGAGAAGAAGGAAATGTCCGCGACAAAGGACAGCAGTTTTCGGGGGCACCCTATTTGTATCGGTTTGAACACAATATCTTTGATCAACAATACTTTGTGCCTACGGAACAACGTATTATTGAGGATACGATTGTGTTAGAGTCTCCTGTAGTGCGACAACTAGTTGCCATATTTTGACAATGAATCATGATCTTGTCCATACAATACTAGTGCGTGTGTAACTGTGTAACGGCAACAACTCAACGAATTGCGTGCTCAACAAAGTGAATGTTCATCATATGGAAATCATTTAACGCTTCTATTTTTGGGACAACCATTTGCAGATTTACTCACAGATTAAGATAGAATTCCAATGACTTTATCTAGTTTATTAGTATTAGTATGTCAGCATAGAAAGTGATGAAGCAATTTAATAACAACTAAAATCTTTGAAATTACAATATGGTTTTGACAACTTTTGCTTAGACAACATTGTCACGAGTCGGCCATAACTAATAATTAGGATTATATATATATAATAGAATATAAAACTAGTCCATACAGTTAAAATTGGCAAGAAGTAAACGAATTAGTCCGAGAACGAGAAATGCTCGACAATCGACATAAAAATTACAGCTCAATTAGAAGCTATTTAAACAAAGCTCAAGGAGAAATTAAAATACTATCAAAATGTATAGATAGAAAAAATTGGTTATGAAATCTATCAAAAGAATGAAAATATGTGAACACTATAAAATAAGCAAAGTAAATCAAAGATACGTAAAGAAGATAAGCATTGGTTGAAGAGAATAAAAAATTAAAGTACGTAAAACCAAACTGCAATCTTATTAAGCTAACTCATTCTAAAGTCAGTGATCGCCTTTATTATACATACAGTTATTCGTTCCCAATGCTAATTACAGTACTACCGTTGGATAAAATCGTAGCTCTCAAAGTCTTCAATTCTGTGTTCATATCGAATAAATGACACAGGTATTGGGTCAATGCGTTGAATATTGTGAAACAAAGCATTGAATTAGAAAACTCGCATTCTCAAATTAATAAATTACGATCGGCTTTAATTATGTGCGCATTGTTCTCAATCATATACGCGTTTGGCTTTTACCAACACTTTATTTAATTAGTCTGGTAACATCGGAATAGGGTAATCGTTTGAACACGATTTATTTAAGAATAAATAGACATTTCATTATTTTGTCGTATTATGAGCATCAGATAAATGAATCGATTCAGGCTAAATGAACCATTGTACAAGTATTTAATAATGTACCGCCTATTGCGAGGACCAAAGTGGTTAACGAATACGAGTCGGGATACCAGAAATGGAATTGCATTCAGCTGATATTCGAATTTGAAGATTTTCACGTGCCACAGCCATAGTGGCTAAGTTGTCCTCAAATTAAAGTTTAGAATCACAATGAGAACATCAATGATTGTTGGAGTCCCCGTTCCTTTTGCCGTAATTGTCAGTTAATTCCTAGAAGGAATGTACAACCTGGATAATGTTTACATTTAAATTATCTGGCGATAATCAATTGAAAGCTCGGGACATTAGAAATAAAGAACAAATAAATGGAATTGAGAGAATATTAATACTGTTGATTTAACAATACTGTTGAGTTTTCTCCGCAATGATTATCGCCTTGCATCATGATGTCATTGAACAGTCAAGTTAATGTAGGATATGTAGGATATGTTATCCTTATGCTTTGAATTCAGGGGTTGTTAACTTTATGATTATCGTCATCACATTATAAACACTCTTCAACAATGGTAACGCAGTCCCGAGTTCACTCATTAACACTGAAAATGACCATTTGCAACGTTCCCCATTTAGTAAAATGCTTCATTTTGACTACCCCGCTTAAGCAATTGTAATATTATTTAATGTTTTCTGTGTGTCCCTGCATTTCCCGATCGTGTGCTACGCCGTGCACGCAAACTAATAATCAGAAATGATTGTACCACAAAATACACAAGACAATAAAGACAATACTAATAAGGGACTAACAATGTGAAAGTTATTGACATCTACACGAGAATGTAAACCTTAGTCATCAGATATATTGTCCATTGCATGCGGTCAATGATAAATTCGTAAATGCAACGAAGCACAGATAATGCGTAATGGGCACATTATATATATCAAGAGCAAGACTTAACGACAAGCATTCTTTGTTTCGAAAATCTACAAACGAAAAAAAAAATAACATTCAATCATTATAAAAATTTAATTCATAATTTTATACTAATTGCCTCTGTTTTTACTTTCACTGAATTTGAAGTATCTCTCATCAGACACTATTATCAAAACACTAGTATCTTTTCATCTTGTCTTTTTCAATCATGTCGCTCGCATACTCACCCATCTCAACACCATCCCTCTCTCCAACATCTTCTCGTTCAACGTCTCCGTCAAGTCCAATTGAACGTGTCAAAGAAAGTCTAGATATTTTCGAAAGATTACTAGCTCAGAAAGCACCATCAATGAGCATCCGCGAATCATTTTATGCGTTTGTCTCGGACTATAACGAATGTAGACTTGACGACGACAGCATCTGGAATAGCGCGAATGTAAAGGATAAAGAAGAGTATAGACTGAGAGAAGATTTGAAATTCCGTCGGTGGATGGTGACTAAATTATTCAGACCAGAATTTTTGCACCAAGAAGAGGCGGCGAAGGAAGAAGAAAAAGACGACGAAATAGACGCATTTCTACAGACTTTTGTTCGTGATGCCTATTTTGAAGAACTCATGGCAAGAGGGTGGATTGACGAAGAGATGGAATGGGATCAGAACAAATATAACCAAGATGAGATCAACCAGCGGGAATGTGTTGATGACAGTACTATTGACTATGATTATCCTGATGACGACTGCGATTCGGTGCTGTCATACAGCTTTATCGACGACCTACTTCCCTTATACTGCAACGTTCTGTGGGATCAGCAAAATAACGTTGAACCACCTACAAATGTCATTACTTCCGATGGCGAATATATTCCTTTATGCAATAATCCATATGCTTTTATTGATATATTTGAACCGTGTCCCGAAAGAGATGCAAACAAAGAAGCATATTACGCCTTATTACAACTACATTAAGTTGAGAGCATATTGTATATATGCTATAAGCTTGATTTGTACATAAATATATTCTTTTATTCATTTCTCTTAATAATTTAATACTTTTTTCTTAGAAATTTGAGCGTGGAAGGATAAACGATAATAGAATTTTTAATTACTGGTAACAATGCCGAAGGCCTTTTCTTAAAAAATTGTGTGTTTTTTTTTTCATCTTTCTTTATTTCTTTACCTTCTCTTTCCAATGTATATAGTAAATAGTAGTGCTAAAATAAAAGTGATGTTATTTTGATAACAAGATGTCAGTGAACAAAGAAATGAATTCCCAAACTAACCATATAAGTAATTGTTTATTTCTCATAGTATTTCGACGTGAATTACGTTATATCATTCGTGCATAGAATTACTGCAACCGGTTCAATTCACGTTTTACTTGTATCCACAACACATTCTTCAACTCTTTTCTTCTCAGTACCCGGGGGTACTGTACATTGGGAATATATCTAAAAAGAAAACTTGTGTAATTTAGCATTCTCTTCACAATATGCCTATACGCGGCAATAAAAATGTTACGGGATAGAGGAAGAAGCAGACGTGGTTAATATTGATGATTTGAAAATGATAACACCTATGCAAATACGACAGATATTGTCAACAATTGGGATGATCATCAGACGTGTTTGTAAGCGATTTATAGCAAAATGAAATAGATCGATTAGGCAATAAACTTTTGTTGAAGATATTCTACAATAATAGTTGTACCCGGGTACTTTACAAGAAGGGACTAGTAGAGGACCGGTACTAAGCAAGGCGGGGGTACTGTACTAGTGTACTATAACCAGTGCAATACGGTGCTATATTCGTACGATTCATTCATCTGGGACAAAGTAAATAATGTGGCTGGTGTGGCTCCGTATGGTTGATACGATTTTCCTGGTTCTAATTTGGGCTAATAATACACTCGATTGAACAAAAAACTGTTCAGGTTAAAAATTTGCATCAACATTAATCAATTATTGAAACAGACTTGCTGTGACAATTTTTTTTTGTTGGAAATACACACCGAATATAGTTTTTAAAAGGCATGTCTTTTCCAAAACTTCTGCCGAGACAACATTGTTAAAAGTCTGCTTCAGTCAAATTGAGGAAAAAAAAATAATCGCTCCAATTAAACAATACAGAAATATCTGACATTTATCACAAACCAATAAGCGAGCATTAATAGAAACTGTTGGTTGAGGAAAGGTTTTTTTAGTGCATGAAAAAAAAAAAGACGATACAATCGTTGGCGTATGACGCGTTCTAATTCTATTGTTATAGTAAATTGACGGTGTATCACTATGCAACATGAAAACTGGTCCATAGACTAACAATTACCTCCGGTATGATAACGTCGTCATCGGTTTGACGTTTTGGAGACCAAAACGTAAAATGCTATCATGGCTTGTATAATTTCTAATAAAGCCTAGATTTCCCATAAATACCAACACTATCTAGTATACCCACTTATCAAGTATATCGAATCAGTGTGTAATTTTACAAAAGAGATCATGAAATTTTAATATTGCTATAGTTCGTGATACACGCTGCACATACTCACTGTATTGTGTGGGTTTCTATAAATTTAGTTCTCCCACATTAAATACTCAATCTATGATAGATTATGCTAACAGCTTTATGATATCTCGTATACTTTTTTTTTTTCAATATCTATTTTTTTTTCTCACTAAATAAGAATTCAAGAAACAAAGTTTGTCACCCCTTTTCCTATGCATCATTCGTCGCCAACTCGGTAGATAAACACGTGTTTCTAATAATCTCGTCAGCTGCCACATGTTTGAATTCAAACTTTAACGTGACACAGATCTTATAATCTTCGTCCCTTACCGCCTCCCATTTCAATTCCTTGTTATTGTTCTCAAAATACTTCCCAATCTCGTCTCCCAACTTATCCAGTATAAGATATCCAACCACTCGAAACGGTAGGATGATGGTATATATCTGCGAGCCAACATATACCGAGTTGAGATCGTCCACAACCGGATCCATTTCGTCCTCGTAAAAGGTTAAACTAACCTGTCTCTTGAAATTGGATAAAACGACATATATAACATTTTTCAATGCTTCGATAAAATCGTCTACTTTATCAAACATCGCCTGTCTGACTAGACGATCCAGTTTCAACGGTTCGCCAACCGGGATTTGAAAGTAGTCGACTTCCGTCTCTAGTTCCTTCTTTGTTATTGCAAGGTGTGCATAGGAGCAGTTGTTGTTTGGTGTTGATTGATCTTCTGCATAGTGCAATTCTCCTGTACGATAGAATTGAAGTATGTGACGGAACACGTGTCCATCGCGGTCAATAAAGTATTCGTTGCCGTTGGTTGGATGGAGGAGGGCCGCATTGCGAGCCTGAAACATACGGCCGAGGAGAGTATCTGGGTATGCTGTTAAGGTTGATCTGTAAGTTTCGTACTATTTGATGGATGAACATTTTTGGGATGAAGAATCGATGAGGAAATGGTAGCAAAAAAGGGGGAGGAGGAGAAGGGTAGGGAAGGAGGGGAAGGGACGAGGAGAGTTTGGAGAGAGCAATATGTTTGATGGTCGAGAATGCATTAACGATAACGCATAGATTAGCCCAATATTACAAACGAGCTTTGACCGGATAATTAGTATTCGGTAGATTACAGTAGCCGCTCGTTAAACAATGAAAAAAAGGCATTCATGTGTTTCTCACCTTGACACCACCAACATTGAGAACAATACGATCGTGTGGGGACGGTTCGTGAGTATTTTCGTTCGCGTTTGTCATGTTATACTTCACTTCAGCCGGTAGAAGAGTGAATGTGGGGGAGTAGAAAGTGGATATTTTCGAACGAGCGTGAGGAATTTTGACCTATGGCCTACAAAAAGAGCTTTTTGAAATATAAACTATTTGCTCATCATCCGGATTTTGTCATTTAAGGTATACTGCCAAGACTCGCAAATTGGTTGTGTTCCAAATATTATTCACGTGATATTATGATCAACGCACAGCATAGCAAACAAAATTTCTATACATGAATGAAAATTTGACAGCTTCCCGCCAACATTAATAATACTATATAACAAGTCTCGCAGTTTTGTAAGTAATTTCAATTAAACGACTAAATAAAACAATGATTATTATTATAACAAGTATCAATTCGCCATTCTATTCCATCTTTCAATTTACATGCTTTTCCTTTCTCATATTACAGTGCCACAGCCATTCATATCGCATATACTTTTCCAGATACTTCTTCCTCTTTTTGATTCTGTCCTCTTTTTCATACTTTTCTTGGATATGCTGCATCTTTTTCCTCAAGAATTCGGACTGTTCTTCGATATCACACGGTAGGTTACATCCTTTTTCGTGGCCGACCACTTCAATGTATGTGATGGCCACACGATTACATAAACCAGCATGAGCAGCCGGAGGAACATACGGGTGAACGGTTACCGGACCAAACGAGACGTGCAGTGTACCAATAAGAGTAAGCGTGAGAAAGCGCTTTATTCGACGGATGCGCTTCCGTACCGAGGTAAGAAGTGATTGGATCGCTTGAGACGAGCTCTTGAGAGAGGTAATAGGATAGTAATAATAAGACAGGGTGGAATGCGCATAAAAGTCGGTCAACATGCTGTTAGACGATGGGAAAAGTCCGAAATGAGGGTTCTGCGTATTTAGCAGTGTTATTGACGAGTTCTGTGATTGGCTTGGAAAGTGTGTGAATTGTGGCTGGCTGTCAATTGGCATTTAGTTTGAAAATCCTGTCCGTTTTGGACATGTATGATGCCTTGTTTGTTATGCTTTGCCACAAACACATTCTTTACTACAAATTTGAATCACATGTACTTGTCAAATATTGGTTAGCGGCATAATTAGGGTGTAATGAGCTTGCCATTAAGTAATGATAATCGATGGAAAATAGTCTTTATTTAGAATTCCCATTGACGATGTAAATAGTGCAAATAACAATTGGGCAAATGCATATTCAAAGGCTCCCAATCGAAATAAAAAGACGAGTAACCGATACATTCTAGCAAAGATTCATATATATTGTAAATGCGTAAAAGCTTTGAAACCAAGTCATTCACCCTAGACTTTTCCGTATTAGTATGCGATTTAAAAACTCTATCGGCAATCATATATAACTTTGGGTTATAATTCAATGATGCAACTATAATGCATGCAATCAGATCTGAATAACCTTATCCTGTATTATGTCATGCTTACTTTCGTTTCTTTTGGGTAGTCTTTCCAGAAATAATAAAATAGTTACGTTACGGTTCTTATTCCACATTGTGTGTTACAGTACTTTCGAAAAACCCGATGAATAGATGAATTAATAACTGACACGTAGCACATACAGTACAGTAAAAGTGTTTACAGTCGTAGTGAGTAAATACGTAGTGTCTCATATGCCTGCTAAGAAGTGGATTCACGCATCAAATTTTCTTGTCCTAATGGAATTGGAGGAAAAAAAAGAAAAAAAAAACTGCATGAGCCAAGTGGCTGCTGCAAAGACGAGAATGACCTCAACCTGCATGTATAATGCTCTGCGGACATGTCCGAGACTCCATATTGTTCAACCTCGTAACGTGCCAACTTTTGCCGAGACATTTATGGCAAATCCGAGCTGCGTACATAAGTACTCGTTTGTCTAAAAATGTTATTTACTGGCTTCGTAATATTAAACAAAGGGAACCACGTGTTATCCCGAATTGCTTTTGTACCCTTCGATTCTCTTGGAAGGCTTGGTTTTGTGTGGCATCGGGATATCTTCTTTAGTATTTTTTTCGTGACGTCAGCATTTACAAGAAGTACATAAACCACTAGTTTACCCCAGCGAGACGATTTTTTTGTGACAACTAACCCGATAGTTTTTTTTTATTGACCAATACCCATTATTACTACTCTATTAACGCTTTGATGCCATAAGTAAAGGAAAGGGAAAGGGAGACTAATACAATGAGACGAAAGATAAAGTAAAGTTGGAGAATACCCACATGAATAATAATTAAAACCCTATCACTATATTTCCAAACTGCACGAAACATATCACCGACACACACGTGTTCATTATAATAAGCTTAGACAGTTGCTTAAAAACATAACATATAATAAATAATAAAATCTTATTTCCTAAACAGCATAGTAGGAATATGCGTTCTTAGACACTTTTTATACCATATAGTTCTTATTAAGCCAAAAGTTTTTTTACAGTCGACTTTCTATTTCTAGCTTTACATCTATCTCTCTCCTTTGTCTCTTTTCTCCTTTCTCCTTTCTCCCTTCTCCTTTTGTTCTCTACTGCCATTCTTTTCAACACATCCACCCCACTAATCCACTACCAACGTCACCCTCTATTCCACATCCCGGCTGTGGCATAATATTACACCTTCCCTCGTTTGTTTGGAAATACTCTGGATTATATGGTATCATACTATTACCAAACATTGTATTTCGAAACGCTTGTTCAGAGAAACATTGTTCAGGTGAGTACATGTACGGGGCGAAAAGTGTCGGAGGCAGGGTGGCAAATGGAGTCATGAAATTCGACAGCGACATTTCTATTTCAGCCTTGGTGAGAAACCGACCGTCAGGACCGCGTGGACGACGAAGAGCATGTAAATGCCGAGATTTGTGTATGTATGACTGGTAAAAAAATGATAGACGTGACGATAAATGTTAATATAAATCGACAATGTACCGTTCCCGAGTACAATATTATACGTATTTGTTAACTAGCCTTAACAATACCCTCTTAAATTCTCACCTTTCTCTCTCGGGAAATTCCATACTTGGCGTCAAACTTTGCCCTGGCAATTCTCCTCTTTAGTATTCTCCTATACTGTTTCGGGTTAACCCAACTCAAACTTTCGTCTTCAAGCTCCGGCTCGTTTTTATCCATAAATTCCGGCTCCTCGAATTTAATAAAAGTCAGTGGTGACAACGGTTCGGGACTGCTGGACGTCGAAGGTTTAGAGGCGAGCGATTTTTCAGTCAAGGTTGGGCTCGAGGAATATGTCGAGACCGAAACGGATTGATGATGGATCATAGAATCTGCGACAGCAGCAGCATTTGAAATAGCACCACCACCCGTCATAGCATTAGGAATCGCAAACGCTGTATTTACATATTCTTCGCTTACATTATTGTTTGTTTCGAGTGCCAATAAAGCAATGTTTTGATCAATTATATAATTCCCTTCTGCAATGTCACTTTTGGGTCTTGGTACAGAGAGGGATTCTGATTGATTTAATCGATTTAATTGATTTAATTGAATGTCAACATTGGACACTGGTTTCAAAACAATAACATTTTCAGTAAATGGGTATTGTGATGGCTGAGGAAGTGGCTATATAATAAGTAAATTACGGGAAATGGGAATCAGCAATGATTTTTCGATAAATTTCTATCATATTTTCTTAGCAAGGGGAACTTACAAATCGCTGCGCATCATAAATAGTACAATCTTCCGGAGTTGCGCTAAAGGTATATTGGGGTGCTTGGAACATCTATAATGCAGGTTTGGCGTAAATCCTGAGTGATCTGCATGAAATCTAAACCTTGAATCTTGAATCTTGCTTGTTTATATATAACATACCGTATTGTTAGGATATGCTTGCTCGGCCATTATTTGACAAATCGTACTTGCAGAAACTCGTTCCACTGCCATGATATGGGATGCGTGTCTAATTTATACTTTTTTTGTATCAAAATATGGTATAAATAAATAAGCTGTCGTTATGATTGTCTCCTAACTCGACTCGACTCTGAAACACTTGACTCTCGATCAGGTTCTCGTTATTTTATACAAACAAATGCCAAGTCATGAGATTTAGTCAGGTCTCATTCAGGCCAAGTTTTGAAAATCTTAATTGAAGGATGATGTCAGTGCCCTTGGCTACCATTTGAAGCCGCTACAAATCTGATTTGCGTCGATCGTAAATAATGACACATAAATATGGTTGGTCGCTAAAAAAAGAGTGCACAAATCTGTGTTAGTGATGGTAGGACAAAGATCTCCGCCGTATGAAATATTAACCAGAAAAGCTGTTAACGTGCTTACTATGATTTCATGATCATAATAACATATGTCATTTTCGTCTCAATGATTAACCATGATAGATAGCATGTACAGAGCAGTCATGTTATCGTCTTGATAACCAGTCTTCGCATTTACACAGCGAGGAAATTACCATCTCATTTAGTAATTAGAAGGAACAACCAATTACAACTCAACTAAACTTACCAATTACCGAGATCAAATGTCCTCTGTAATGCGGGCATGTCTCATGTTCTGTCAGCATTATTTAATCACTATACCAAAGTGAAGAATGAATTCGTACTTGTCTTTCACCAGAAAGAGAAAAAAAATTTTTGTACTACGTTTGGCCAAGTTTAAAGTTTAGAAACCAGTAAATGCTAGGCATTTCAGCTATTTTTAAAACGATTGGACGTTGTCCATATTTGTATCAAAGCCTGAATAGCAAAGGATATTCGGTATTTTTTTAGTGGCCGCTTAAAAGCCGATGGTATTATGACGCAATGGTGTAATTCGCTCGGCTCGCACGCGAAAGGGTTTGTAAACATACGGAGTTAGCAAAGACATTGTGCATCAAACTTACTCGTGCCTTAATTAAAAAGCACCCCATAAATGGTGTTTAAGACGTTTCAGTGGTCAAGATAGTCAGGGCACGTTGACCACTGATGGGTAACCACCATGATAAAGAAGGAAACAAAACATAAACTAATTTTATGTAATAAAATGAGTTTTTATATAACCCTTATGCAATAGAGAGTGAAACGTTTCATTCGAATTAAGTAAGCCTTAAATTTATTAAAGTAGTCATAACTGAATGGGGAACAAAGTAGGAGAATAAAGTTTTATGATTTAGTTATGCTTGATTGTTTGTCGTTTTTATTTCCAAATCGATTTTTCCAAGATTTCTTTGTTGAATTCGAAAAATGCGTTGGTTGAAGATGAATACAAGTGTTTCATTATGAACCAACTATCTGTCTGTGGGAATTCTCTATGCCTACAAATTCGCCGATTTGATAATCGATACATATTGTAAATTAATATAGTCAAGCTATTGCTTATATAATATATGATATGATACATATATGTACTTGGAACCCGATTTATATCGAATTCGTCAATCCACATGCCTGTTATGAATTCTGATCGACAATTGTTTTGCCATCGACAATTAAGCGGCGGTTTGGTGCCCGCCATCAATTCATGTATGTATCAAGGACAGTGCGCGCAACTTTTAAAATTTAGCTCGCTTTCTCCGGGTTTTCCGTCTAGTAGGCACAGACAGAATCGAATATAAAAGCTTGGTACTGTTGTACGCGAACCAATAAAATCAACAATAATTTACCCCTGTAAACGTAAACTCGCTTTGGGCTCGGCATTCTTGCTTCCCTATGGTCCACAGAGGTCTGTGACATGGGACCCTGGGTTTCAAAATTGGTAGTAATGTCATTCAACTGACCTGCGGATTCGTTTACAATTGATCGCTGACGATTACTTAATGTAGCAAAGAATTCTCTTGTTTTGTCATTTATTCATTATCCAAATTTTCAAGGCGTGACTTGCTTTTTTTTACATAATTGACAACTAATTAATCACGACATGATCGATTGATTAGTAAGTTTACTTTTAGTTTTCGTCATTCTTAGGATCCTACTTGAAATTTTGAATCTTGAACAATTTATCCTAGAATTTAGTGGTGTTCATCTACATATACGATAAATAAGGTAATATTATTATTACTAATGCTATTAAATTAAAAACAAACGCTAATTTGACGTTTTGGTCGTGATTACTAATACAAACGCATATAATCGTAATATCGATAACAGATTGTAGTGATAGGCCTTCAACTAAATAAAAAGCTTATTAAGCAAGATCTATGTGATAAACGGTACATTATCTGTAGAGCTAATTATAATTATCTAACTAGTATAGTCAAGTTCAATTAGCCATTACCAACGCACAAATAACCTGAATTGACATTGCTTTCGTAAGGTAAATGCACGTCATTTTAAAATTGTAAATGACCAATTTTATTAAAAGACGACATTTGTAGACAAATTGCACAACGACTACTCGACTAAATTAACTAGCAAGATTTGTTAAACCGTCGATATGTGTGTACCCTACGCGTTTGCCATTTGTTATATATTACTCACATTTTGGTAAAGTTTATTAAGAAAAACCCATTGCTTCGAATCAAGGTTCATTTACAACAATCGTGACCAGTTTTTTAATGGCAACTATTGTGTCAAGTGCCAACATTAAGTTTTCTTATGATATTTGTGTGACAAATAAGGCATAAATTTATTGCCGATGAGGTTGGCAGGGATATATTTACAAAGCGTGCAACATGACACCAACTGTACGCGCGCCAACAAGACATCAATCGGTGCCTATATTCCCCCGTTTCAATACGGTACCTATATTCTTCCGCTTAATACAGACAGACGTCGGTTTTATAACCATAATGTTCTCCGGATATTCTAATGGCCCATTGCAGCAACTTCATGCTTCCACAATTACTCATCAACATGACTTTTTCCAGCTTTTCCAAATTACTATTCATCAACGCTTCAACCACCTTATCATCCTTGACCTGACATCTTTTGAAATCAATTATTCTCAGTTTCTTACAACTAGCAAGTACTCTGAACATGTCGTCGGTATCGAAATAGAACCGATCGAGGGTGATGGTCTCTAACGTCAAAGATTGTGTTAAAATGGATTTAATTAGGGATCGGAAAGAGGCAGGGTCCGGAGAACGGCTTCCACATAGGGTAAGATGTTTCAGGCAGCGTTGAGACGTTATTGCTGTTATCACAGAGGAAAAGGAAGGTTGTACTTTTTCTGATGCAAAATCGCAAAAAGGAATACAGAGAAACTCCTGAAATGAAAGCAGACCTGTTGTAAGTTATATATATTAAGCATTTCTTAGTGCAGTACTTTATAGTCTTCTGTCAACTACCTACCACGTTTTTGCAATACTTTCCTACCTGGTCCAATATTGTATATAATGACCCAAGCAGCTTGAATGTTTTTAACCTCTGTATGAGAACTTTATATTCGAAAAAAACCATTCCTTCGTCCCATCCTGCTTCCAATACTTTTAATCGAGTGCCATGCCGTACAAGTAGTTCAAGTATTACCCTCATCATATCTGCAGACTCGTCGTGTTTAAATTCGCGTTTATAACAATCCGTCAAGTGGTAAAGATTTATTGTCGTAATGAATTCCGGGTAGTTGAATGCCAACTGCACATTATTGTTTCTGCTGCAATTGTTATCACAAACACATCCGCTCTCTAAACGGTTATCTTTATCACACGCTCGGATCCCAAGTTTTGTTTGTTCTTTGCAAGTAAGTAATCGACGCAGAGTGGAGAGCGGAGTCTTTCCTCTTGGATTTATAAATGGATTTGCCCATAAATATGGAATAGCATCTATACACCATTGTCTATTGACTAATGCACAAGAGTATAGCGTCTTCAAGTCAGATGTAGTACCTTCGGTAAACATGCTAAATATTTCATACAGCACCAACGATGGAAGATTCCTTGTTTTGTAATGTTGACAAGTGTTCATTGTAGTCATTCTCGAGCATCAAACTCTCCACCCTTTACACTATCTTTATATCTACGCATTCGTGAGAAAAAGCTTCATGCATAACCTCATGTTATTTAATTTTCCATATTGGCAGAATGGAATCGTCGTGTGTGGAAATAGATCGCTAGATGATGCCATAGATGGTCTAATCTTTTGTTAGAAACGACAGTCAAATGAACTCTACCTAGTTGAAAATCAACTGTTTTATGCAAGGCGCCTCGAGCTTGAGAACCAATTAAAAAAGACTTGAATCATGCAAAGTCCGCACATCCCTCGTGATGGATTTGTCTTTTACCAAAAACAAAAAAGACCAATAGTCAGAGCTGTATAACGCAAACGACTAGATTTTCATGCTCGTTGAATATCCTTGAATAGTTGTTTGCGCTGTGGCATATCACAGTAAATTTGTGCAAATTGAGCAAATTTTGTCTATAAAAGCATAATAAGTAATAAACTTTTCATCATTTGTGGTTTCACAGAAAACTTTCTACGTAAATTCTTACAATCTCGATAAACTCGGCTGAAAGTTCCACCATTATTCTATTGCCAACAAAAGTCTTATAAGAGTAATAGCGATAGTTCAACTGATATTTGTTGAGTGTCGATAAGGTTCTAGATCGTGAAACCAGATATTCATCCAGTTTTCATGTTAAACACGTGGTTGTAAGAGCGTTATTAAGCGACCAATTATTTTCAAAGCTCATATGATTAGAACTTCTCTTCAGAACTTTCTTCAAAATAAATTGCTGTTATGTTCATTAGCACTACAAGCAGTGAGAGATCATGGCAGACAGTGATTATCGCTGTCTGGTATCACAATAATATAAACATGCCAAAGAGTTGAGAAGAAGCTTCGAATGTAAATTAGAAACGACACACACAAAGTATCTAATATGTCTTGGTATTTACATAACACTGCTTGGCAGGGCATCATCCGAGTCGCTCGCTATTCAACAAAACCGTCGTTCTCAATTGAGCAATTTAGCATCAGAGCTTGGCAGATTTCAGTGAGATTCATTTTCAGGAGTCTATTTTAATCGGTATTTGTGTTATTATATATAGTACAAGCATTTTAGTGAAACGTATTGCCATAGTGCCCTGCATATCGTAACCGTGATACAGGGGAGATCACAATCGTTAAAATTGTTCACATTCGGATATGCCACATGCTGGTCTTTATGTTATCTCGAAATTCAAGTAGAAGATGTACAGTTTCAATTAGTAAAACACGTTATTGGTCATGGGCAAGCGAACTATATAATAAAGTGCTGGCCACATTCATAGGATGAACATTGCGTGCGCTCCATACGAACAAGAGCCAACCACATGTCTCATAAATCCCAAAAAGGATATTATTCGGTAAAAGCCTATTGAATTTATTTTAGGTTGCAAACTAACCCTTTATGTCACTTGCTTGTTATTCATTTTGAATCGTGGTCATAGATCGTCAATTCAACTTGTTTTATGCAACCAAACATTATTGGTTATTAAAGGTGCACATACTTCTAAGAATAGGAGCATCTAATTTTGTCGTACTTTAACCAGTAGCAAGTGTGAGACCTTATTTAGCTCTGTTCACTTTCAAAGACACTGATGACTTCATTAATATTCAAGCGAGCTATTATTAGTGGCGATGCCGTCATGGTTTGAGTCCTGACAAGCTATTGTATAAGCGACTGTAGAGATTTGTTTGCATGCAAGGCGAACCACTAAACAGAATTTTGTGTTGATAAAAAAAATGGAAAGATGAAATCTAGAGAGCCCATAATATACGTCGTGATAACTACAGTACTTTGTTTTCTTTCTTCTCTTCTACCTTACACAAAAGGATTGAATGATTTCTGTTAAAACATATGAAAACTTTATTTTCAAAATACCAGTTATCCGTATATGATATGTAAGTAATAACGATTTTTGTATCATTTTTGATTATACTTTTCGACAAAAAAGAATGATAAATCAAACATGCTATTACTGTAGTTCAACGACAGTATACAAAATATGCGACTATACATGTATAAACATATACTTTATCTCCCAAACTACAGTTTTATGACGAGGTCAAATTTCAATCATTAAATTTCTCTTTTCCGAAAAGTACAGCACAATCAACTACTTCAACATGATACAAAATAAATTTACTTGCAATTAGACGCATGCACTGCGCTTTTTTATACTTTCGAGCGACTCTTTCATTAATAAACAATCGATTATAAGCTTTATCTTGAAACCGAATACCTTTATTAGTATCGCAATAATTAGTTTGCTTCAAGAAAAATTTTGTTGTCGACATGATAAGAAACTGAGCATGGAGTCTTTTAACCTCTGTATTATTTTCTCTTCACCTACTTGCAGATATACACGTATTCGTCAACCATGTCGTAGATACTACAACTAAATATTTAATAAAACATGCAAAAGTTTGTAGCTGCTGATTCACGGTCAAGTGGATTATGCGTACGGGCTATAATAACACAAGCCATTGTGTTAGAAAAATTCGACATCGTGTACTTTTTATAAATTTATGAGGCGACATCCAAAGAGTAGAGTATGTTATATTCGTATCAAAGTCAGGTCGAGTATTCTCTCATATTAATAACAAGTGGTTGACATCTCTGTCTGTTGGTCTACAGAAAAATTAACCACTTTCAGCATATTTTATTAACTAGATTTTTTAAGAAAATCAGACTGTCGGATTGTAATTCTGACAATGTGCTGCTTGGTGTAAAGCATCTTAGTGAATTAATTGTATTGCTCTCTCTGACAGTAAATAAAGTAGCCGGAGTAGTTGCTCCCTCAATATATTCTTTTAAATTAGTTTCCCCAGTCGCTAAAGAGTTATTATCTTTTAATTCTTTAAGCAAAAAAATTAAGCATTAATAGGGACAATAATTCAAGTCTGCGTATTGTACATGGAGCACTCGTTGATGTTTGTCTACGGCCATAATCCAGAGACTTAACTTCATAGGATTGCAAGCAAAAACTTTTACGAGAATCAGTTCCCAGCTTAGTCTTCATTCGTTAAACGAAAAGCAAATTCTATAGAACTTTGCATGGGAGACTTCTAGAGCTCAAAGCCATTGATGATATTAAACATTGCTGTATTTTAATTACGCTAGAAAAATGTATCAACTTGGTGAATCTCGAGAATTAGCTCTTTAGTATCCTTTTAGAAATAGCACCTTTTTATGCTTGATTTGGGACTGAGTAACTGCGTAGTAACCCGGATATAGTAATAGAGTAAATTAGCACTGATTTTATAAAAAAAACCCCCCAATTTATCAGACACTGAGCGTTCATTATAACCACAGAGACTCGAACGTCAAACCGTAGTACAAATTGACTTCAAACAAAATCCGCGTTTCGAGTTAATTCGTTCCAAAACAATGTGTTTCCTTAGACCTAGTGTCTCTGATATGATTAAAACTCTACCTATTGGTGAATTTGCTCTAAGAAATGGACTCGTTTAAATTCAATTAATGCGGATATTGCAAGTCTTTTTGGGGAGGTATTATTTTACTTTGCGGTCCTGACCCCCTGAAATACGCTGTGGCGATTGATTCATCCCCATTGCTGTACCAAAAAGCGTTAGCACCTGGTTTACTTTGGATATAATAATAAAAGCAGTCGATAATGAATAAAATCGGGAGTAATGAATGAAGTTTCATTTACATGAAATCTGTCCTACTTAATAATATGATGATCCAATAAGAATGTCTTTATCCGCTATGTATATAAATACACCTTTTCCGAGCCTGAAACTCTATTTACAAATTGAAACTTTTAGACAAATTGAAACTTAGACAAATTGATTTCGGATTTCACTTAAAACATTTACTTTGAAAGCTTTTACACACTCAGATCAAGTCTTCTTTCACATCATGGATTATTCCATCGATTTCTTTCTTAACATTCTAAGACGTTCGCTGTTCCACCCTTCGTTTGCTAGCCTTTTCTTGGCATTTATATTTGTACAGGGAATTCCTGTAAATAGTTATCTTTTCATATGGAGTAGCGTTTACACGGGCAGTGTGTTTTTCGTTTGGTTTTTGGGATACATGACCAAAGTGTCGAGGAATGGGCGTAAATCAAGAAAGATTGATTGGGATGATGAGATTGTTCTCATTACTGGAGGTTCGAAATTATTCATTATTGCTTGTCAACGCGCGCGCGTAAACTCTTTACGTCGACTAAATGCAACGTCTTTAAATTAGGTGCTCGTGGAATAGGGTTGCTGCTTGCTGAGACGTTATCGATCAAGAACGTGACGATTGTAGTGCTGGATATACGAAAGCCGGAGATAGAGCATCGTATGTAGATGTTTGTGCTGCATTGCCTTACATTGGCATTATTCAATTGGCTCAAGTATGGATCTAACTCTTTTCCTTTTTCTGTCGACTTTATTAACCGCACTAGCCAATATTGTCTTCTTTGAATGTGACGTATCCAAGTACGATCAGGTGCAGAAAGTAGCCAAGGAAATTATTGCCGAAGTGAGTGTTGATTAATTATAGGTGAACGTATTATTAGCCCGTGATTCTAAGCCGTTGTCATTGCAAAGGTCGGTCACCCTACGATAATCATCAATAACGCTGGCGTAGTAAAGGGAAAGACCATATTAGACGAATCAGAAGAAGAAATATTAAGGTATAAAAGACGCGTTGATCAATTGGCTGGCTGCATTCCTACATGAACGATGTTAAAGTTTTCATCTTTTAGCACAATCGGTGTCAATCTCCTTGCTCCGTTCTGGATAACCAAGACATTCCTGCCCGAAATGGTTGCGAAGAATCATGGACATGTTGTGAGTAATTAGCATGATTAGTTGGTATGATGGATAATTAAGCTGACCGCTATGTTCCTTTTTCATTTGAGGTGAATATATCGTCGGCACTAGGATTTTCTTCAGTAGCGCAAATCGGTATAATATTACTGTCTTGTAATTGAGAAATCACATGACACAGTTTACTAATCAACTT